TAGGGAAGAAGAGCAAGGGGGGAGGGGGATCAGAACCGGTGCAATTTCGGTGAATTCTAATTACGACGGCCCGAAAACGATTTCTTCGCGCGTGACAGCGCGAGGCGCGCTCGGTGATTCACGCGGAAGGGAGAGAGAAAGAGAGACAGAGACAGATAGTTTTCCGCGCCGAATAATCATAAGCTCACCGAAATTACACGATTTTACACGCACTGAGGCACACATACGCTTACGCACACAAGCGCGCGAACACGCGCGCAGCCGGTCGCGGGGTGGCGAAAACTCGGTTAACCGGAAGTCGCGCGTAGTCGCCGGCCCAGAGAAAACACGCGGGACGCGTACGCGACGGTTTATGACGGCGCGGGTACCTCGGACACGACTGATCGAGTGACCGAGGGGGTAGCATCGCGGGGTATACCCCTCCCGTCACAGACGCGCGGGCGCGCGCGCCTACGTATAGAATTACGCGCGTGTGTGTGTGTGTGTGCGTACGTACGCGTATTCGTGCGTACACTACTCCACGTCGTACACCCGGAGGCTCGTCCCCCATGCGCTTCGAGAACGAGGCGGCCGAGGGAAGAGAGAAGTGCGCTGGCACAGAGAAAGAGAGAGAAAGAGAGACCCCCTCCCCCCTTGGTTCTCTCCCTCCGTCGCACGACTTTCTTCTGCCCCTCTCTCTCTCTCTCTCCCTCTCTCGCTCTTTCTCTCTCCTCCATCCCTCTGCTCTCCTCGCAAAAGCACCCCGCTCGCCCCCCTCCAACCCCCTACGGCACGCTCTCGCGTGCGTGAATCATGCATATCGATTTTCTTTCGTTAGAGTAAGCGAGGGCCGCTCGTTCGGCGGTAGTCACGTCGCTCACGTATGGCCGCTACTTCTCCTCCCCTTCTCTTCGCGCCCCCTCTTTTCTTTCCGCCAGAAAGAGAGAGAGAGAGAGAGCCCGGGGGCCGCAACACGCCACGGGTGAGAACCCCCTTCTGAAAACGCATACGCGAGCGGTACCTGATTCTTTTCGCACAATGGCCTCTGTTCTCGCTTTCCTTCTGTCCCCTTATCCCCGTTCCCCGTCCTCTTTTTCCTTTTTCCTCTCGCTCTCTCTCTTTTTTCGATGCTCTCGTCCTCTTCTCCGCGTACCCCTTCCTCGTTACGACGCGCGAAGCCCTCGACGCTCCCTCTGCGCGCCCCTCCGACGATCTTCGCTCCTTCACCCCCCTCTCCCCCTACGACGCTATTTTGCGCCCCGACAAAATGTCCCCGTCAGGGACGCGCACAGAAATTTTTCGTGCGTACGCGATTGAAAGTAACTTTATTTTCCCAGGTGAAAAGGTGACGTGCAATTCTCTCTCTCTTTCTCTTACTTATGCCACAATTTAATCATTATATTTTTTATTTTTACTGGAATAAAACCTGATTTACTTTTATCATGAGTTATTAAATGTATTTATTAATAGTTAGTTTATAACATATAAGTGTTCTTTAAAGAATGGAGGGACAAAACCGGCTCACACAGACACGCTTGCTTTGTGTGCGCCTCTAGTTCCGCTGCAAGACGCCGAGCCTGGTGACCGAAGTTTCAATTGTCCATCTAACTTGGTTAGTGAAAGTCGGGATAAGCTAAATGATATCCTCGGGAAGAATTGTGTCTATCAGGGTACACGCGTTTAATGGAATATCGCTTTCATGTGTCTCGGATTATTCCCGTTGTCACACGGAAGGAACGTAAAGCGTTCGACACAGACCTCTCGACCTCAAAGCAAGTCACATTTATTTGAATGCAGTATGCATTTTTCTGCGTGTTGGCTTATGTGCCACTGGTTGATAATTGTCAATCTTGCGGTAACATTTGCGTACCACTTGAATATTGACTGGCCGAGTTAACGGGCGCCCGAATTTTGGCGGTCGAATAGATCGATCACACGCGGATCGATCGACTCGCACAGGCGCCGATGACGCAGTGCGCGCGGCATTTGAAATCATTCTCTCATAGTGACGAGTAACAAAGATCGTGCGCAGATGTGCTTTTGATATATCCGCTCCGATCTCAAATATACCCGCATGATCCGGAAGGGCCGGCAAATTCGTGGTAGGTCGAGAGTATTGCAGTAGAGATGCTCCGAATTCATTCCCAAGTTATCTAATGTAGGAGAAAGGCAGGTGAAGGTGGCAAAATAAGATGACGATTTGTTCTAAGCTAATAACAAATAATTATAGTTGTGTCTAACCCGTTAGAGGCTTTTAATAATAATTATATTATCTGTTGTAGTTCGACTTCAACCTGTCAACGACCGTAGATAATAAAATAAGAAATGTATTTTGAATACATTCGTATATAATTTCATGGTATTTCTTTGTAAAGAAATTACACAATTACAGTTAATATTTTCACTCGCGTGAGAACGAATTTGTTGAACGACAAAATTCGGAAAAACCGCTGATTTTTCGTTTTATATGCGCGCTACGTACTCATGTTAAAAGACCAGGCCGACTCATGAAGTTCTAGTTAAGAGAGAAGCGGTACAAAGTACGACGGGGGTGAACTCGTGGCGGAACCAGTGGTTGCCCCCTCCCCCCACCAGCCTTCTCTGTCGAGCATCCCCTTCTGCCTACGGTTTCGGGGCGGCGACCCAAGCCCAGTAATAAACTTCTTTTGTTTTTGAACACCCTCTCTTCTATTGTCGCGCGTTCTTTGCTTTCTCTTCTTGGCCGGCGACAAAGCGACGAGAGTCCACGCGCCCGACGGGGCGGACAATCGTGCCCTGTTCTAACCGACAGTCACCGACTGGGATTAACTAAGCTCGCAGTCAGAAAGATTCACTTAGCTTCCATTCGTAGTTAGCTGCGCCCCAACACTGGCATTCAGATCACCGGTAATTAGACCACTTGGACTAGTCTAACGAATCCTCCGACTCCGAATCTCCGACTCGGAGAGGTTTAAGTGTTCAATGCAACGACGATCGCTCTTCGCATACATTCTTCATTTAATTGAAAACTGATTTAAATATAATTTATTTTTGCAAAGAGAGAGAGAGAAAGAGAGAGAGAGAGAGAGAACGTTGTAATATATTAATTTATAGCCACATTTAAACTACCTTTATCCTTTTTTAATTGAAGAGAAAAAGAGATTATAATTTAAATATATGTAATTTTTTTGCAACTTTAATACATTAATATATGATATCACCTTTAAACTACTTTTGTTCTTTTTTTTTTATTGAATATCATATATTAATGTATTACAGCATGCTGCAAAAAATTGTATATATTTAAATTAATTTCTTTTCAACTAAGGATCCTAAGTATTAATATATGATATTCACATTTGAAATATTCTCATCGATATTAACTCGAATTTCTAATAAAAATCGGTCGATTCGAAAGTTTCATACAATGAATTTTAATTACGTTTATTTAGCTACTAGTCTTCTTAGTCTTCTAGAAAAATTCGAAAGAATTTGAATTTTCTGAGCGCATTGGAAGATTAATTCTTGCTCCGACGTATCTCCTCCCTTAATTCGGATATTATTTGTTTGTGCAATTCTGTATAATTCATAATAAACATGAATGATCATGCGAAGATACAGGGGATTACGTTAAAAATACTATTGAGACTGTTATTGGCAATTTTGCGTCTATCAAGTGTGTCGCACTTGTCTATAAAAATAAACGTCGTACGGCCGACGTACTGGAGCGGGGCACGTTTGGGGAGAAAAGTGAGAACTGCCAACCGCTTATAAATAATTCCTTTAATAAGTAAACATGGTAAGTATGGCGTTTTAACACGATAGAAATAACTTTATATACAGACGTACGTTATAGAGAGTAATATACAACAATTTTATACATTTGCGTTTTGCACTTTCAACGAAGGTAATCGATCATCGGGGGGGAGGGTCTTTGTTGAATTTCTCTGCTTGAACGCAGTTCGTCAGAACTATTGTAGTGACAATCTTTTCTTCTTGTTAAAAAATAAATATAGACACTATTCGCGCGCGCATACACTCGAATGGCACAGGAAAAAAAAAAACTTCCAGGGTGATCCAACATATATAAATTAAGTATACAACGTCTGCGATAAAAATTATACGCCTTGATCGATCGCGCGGCGCTGCTTTTCGCGCTCGCTCGGAACTTAAGTAAAATCGTGATGTAATTGTGATGTACGTGATACGATTGCGTGATGTCACAGTGCTCCTTCTTCTTCTTTACGTCTACGTGTGTCATATGTGTATCGTGGGGCTTCGAGGATAGCTGTAATAAAAAGGATAATTGCCTAACTAGCTGGTGTAGCTTAAAATGCAAATGGAATGTTTTCCGTGGACCTTATTGCATTCCCCTACGAGGTAATCACAAGGAGTTCGCGTTTCGCGTATTATTCTACGTTAATATCGACGGGAGTAGCAGCTCGAGTTGCAAACTCGATTACGCAAATCAGATTCGTATATTATATACTTTTTGGCCACTAGATCACTTCGAGTAGCTGCGTATCGCTGGAAAAAACTCCGGCACCGGCTGCGTTTCTCTTACCAGTGCGATACCAGTGATTTTTGTTTCGTGTGTGTATATGTGTGTGTGTGTGTATGTGCCATTCATCTCGAGGAAACGGGACAGTTATGCATTTGGCGGGAGCGAGGAAAGGCGTTCTCTTATCTTATTACGCATAGAGAACGATTCGTACTGACGAGGGGACGGGATGTTGGGGTCACCGATTTTGATCAAACTCTCGGTGAGAGTATGGCACATCCCCAACAATTAACTGAGCAGTGAAGCGCACTACTTGTTTTTAATAGTGCGCCTTATTGCTTGATACACGATTGTTAGAGATGCACCATATTCTTATGTTCGAGTTTGATGAAAATCGGTGACCCCCAACGTTGTGCCGTCCCCTCGTCCGAGAGATCCGGCGAGTATGAATCCAAGGAAGTCATGCCTCGCTATTTCTCTTCTTCCTTTGAGAGTCTAATTTTTCTCAGTGTATCCGAAATATCGAATTTATTTTTCCTAAAAACACACACAAGAGTATCTTATGTATTTTATACTACGTGCGCAAATTTTTTATGAGGGAAGGGGGGAGGGGGGAACTTTGTGGCGCGGAACTTTCCCGACATGCGCGTCTGGGGTGTACAAATAGTCGAGATACGAAAGCGTTTCGACTTCCGTTTTGTTCCCTGTCGCAAGCTAGGCGGCTTAGGTTGTCCGTTGCAATGGCGGCACGTTGGTGTGCACACGTTCGCATTGCAGCTCAGAGGGCTCGGTTCGAAGTGAGAGAAAGAGAACGACACTCAGTAACATCTCAATAAGCTTAGCGATTGAGGACCCATTGACCCATTGAGCTCGAATAAAGCTACTACCGCGTTCTGACTGATTGACTGAAACACGGCCGGCTCCCTCGGGGCGGATGATCCCGATAGATTTCAATAGATACCTAATGGAGTATCAAAAATTCCGCGGCCTAACGAGCTTGCACTCGGCGCTCTCCGCGCCCTCTAATTGAACTCGCACATTAAGTACACATTACGATTTCGGCATTCAGACATCACGCATTGCTACGTTGTTAAAAAATGAACGAGAAAATTGAGCGATATACTTCCTCTAAAAACGAGTGCCGAGAGAACACGTAGGATCCTACGAAAGACGCGTTAACTGCCGAATATGCGATTGGTCACGTCACGTTAAAGAAATCTTATTCGATCGATTTTGATAAATACGTTTTGTTCTACAGAGAAAGAGAGAAAGAGAAGGAGAAAGAGAGAAGATTAAAATCGAATGAGAGCCCAACGGGTCGAACGCATAGATATTTTTAAATATGTTTCCGTTACGTTGGACACAATTTGCGCACAAGTGTCTTATTAATATCGTAATTCTCTAAGCTATTCGAAGAGGTGACGTGATCTTCATTCGAAGATCGCCGACAGAGGTCGGCAGAATTTCTAATTTCCCGCGATGCGTCCCGGCTAATTGCCGTTCTCGCGCCATTGCATCCGGACATCATTCCGTCTTGTTTTTCCATCAGGACTTCCCTTTGCTTTTGTTCCTCACTCGCGGCGACACCGAGTAAAGTTTTCTGAAAATTGCCACTAAATCGTTCTGCGGGAAGAGCGTCTCCACGATACCCTCCAGCAGCACGTACAACAGTCTTCTATTCAGTACGGGCCGCTGAAAGAGCTCGAACACCCTCAATAGCCCGCGCCTCGTCGTCTCGCTGCCTATGATATGTTTCAACTCGTCCGAAAGACAGGAAAGCAGGGCGACTTTAGCTGCCACTCGCGTTCTGTTCTTCATCTCCGTGTCTCGCGGCGGCTTACTCTCGGCCTTCACGCCGTTCGGCCAGAAGCTATTCCTGCCAAACGACCCCCTTATTAATATCCTCATTCCCAGATTAGGGTTCTTGCGTTCTCACCATCTTGTTTTGCGACGTAAGAAGCGAGGAAATCCATGGCCAGAATTCTTGCGGGATATACGTTCAAATAAAAACATACACCCACATGACACTTACAATCGAATCAGCTCACTTATAAAATACTCCACACTTTCCTTTTGCTCGAGCAATCAACAAATAGCCGTGAAAAAGGTAGATTAAAAGGAAAGGTTACATGTCGTGTTAATTTTACGATTATTTACCGATCGTTGGAGCAAAAAGAAAGTTTTCCGGGGATTTCACAAGAGAGTGCTGAATGGATCATGAACGTCACCTTGTGGATAATTTTTTTATTTCAACGAATACCGCAAGAATTCTGAGCATTTTCTCGTTTCTGACGTCATCGAGCAAGATGGCTGCAGGGAGGGGGATCAGGAACCCTCAAGTGTCGATAAAATTTATGGCGATCAACTTTGGTAAACATGTAATCGCGCGCTGAGGTGAAAATGACAAACATGAATCTCGTCATTACCAAGTGAAATTTTAATGACGGATCCTTCGGCGAGTGCCGGTCGCACTTGTGCAAACATTCCGCTCGCGTCGACGTGTCAGCTACTTACTTGAACAGACGCAAATAACCCGCGACCTTCGACGGGCTAGTCAGAAACGACACGTACTCCACTATTCTTCTATTTACTATGTCTCCGAACATCGTTCGAATGATCTGCCGCAGCAGCGTTATGATCCGCCTTCGTAGCCATTGATTTCGCACCTTCAAGTCGAAGATCTCGTCCATCAACAGCAGCATAATTCGCAACGGGATGTTGTCGTCGGTCTGCAAAGTAGATGCGATTTTTTAGCGTCACCGACGTTTTTTCGCCAGATGTGTGGAGTCGCGATAATCGGGAATGTGAAATGATACCTCAGTGTCGAGACCGGCGCCGACTTTGGTATTCTCGTAAAAAATACTCGTTTTCTTGGGATTGCCGAAGAACTTGCTCAGATTGTCCATCACACCGTCCACCGTGCTCAACATATTGTCCGGCATCGTTTTGACCGCCTGCGTGACGCTTTTCATGGAGGTCTTCAAAGGATTCATTAAAGTATCTATCTGTAAAACACACACATTTTCTTGTTAAAGTAAACACAGACAATTTTCCTTCCGATACATAGAGGATGTTATATATTCAGAACACACCTTGTATATATTCATGATTTGTATAATTATAATTTGTATGAATTATAATTATATGATAAATTTCTTACGTCGCGAAAATCGGCTAGTTTTTCCCGTGGAAATTTCATCGGTCGTATTTCCGTGTGAATGGGTAAGCGAAAAAATCCCGGTCAACTTACCGTTCTGGAGATCTGGCCGCCGGTGACTCCTTTGTCGTAATCCCCTTGCTCCAGGAAAGCTAACAACAGATTCTGCAGACCCATGTGGCCGTCCACGATCGCGGGCTTCGTGAGTTGGCACAGCCATGCGTTCAGCATCAGCATCCGTCTCTCCAGCACCGTGCGCTCCATGTTGTGAAAGGCCTTCTTCGCGGGGAACGGTATCTTTGCCAGATCGTAATACTTCTCCTTGATCTTCTGATGCAGGTCGTAGAAGTCGGAATACCGCCTGTATATGTGCCACTTCTCCTTGTAGCCCGAGTCGTAGTTCTTCGTGACGGCCACGGCGTAGATCCCGTAGGTCTTGCCGCGGTCGCTGACAATGCCGGTCTCTATTATCGTCGCGGTGATCTCGAAGCGACCCTGTTGCAGCTTCTTGATCGCGTTCTGATCGTAGTCGTTCTCGTCGAGCTTGACGAACTGCTCCGCGTTCGTCTCCAGGTAGAACGAGATGTCCTTCTTCTCGCCGAACTGCTCGATCTCCGTGGCGGAGCTCTTGCGCGCGATCCTCGTGCCCTTCGGACCGCCGGCCGGCACGTCCGCGTCGATCTCGTCGGACGCTCTACCTTCGATCACCTCCCCCATGCTGGCTAAGCTCGAGGCGGAACTCGACTTCGTGGCACCCTCCTTCGTGGCGACCGTAAGCCGCGCGTCGTCGGACGTCTTGTACGTCTCCGACAGTTCCTCCAGGGTGTCCAGCTCGTTGTTCGTGCTGGACAGACTTATACTGTCCAGGGACTTGGTGTCGTCCTCGGACACCGGGTCCTTCAGCAGATCCAGCTCGGCCAGCAGTTTGACGTAGGCCAACGAGCGCTTGAAGCCCGGCAGGAACCTGTCCTCGTTCTGCAGCTTCTCGTAGCAGCAGTTGCGCAACTCGTCGAACCAGGTCTCCTTCATCGACTCGGTTCTCGTGCGCGTCAGAAGGCCCTTCACCAGCGCGTCGTCCAGCTGCAGCTTCGGCGACGCCTTGTCGCTGAGGTACTGCTGGTAGATCTTCGTGGCTGCCTCCTTCAGATTGTCCAAATCCGCGTTCTTGCGCCTCGCGCCAGCCGCGCCTCCAGCCGACTGACCGCTCTGCATCTTCTGCAACTCCATGTCCGATATCTGCTGCTCGGCCGAGACCCGCCACCCGTAGATGTTCAGGTAGAAAAACAGGTACGCCTCCGCGTTGATGGAAGTCATGTAGTCGATGAAGTAGCTGAGCGCGATGTTGTTCTTCAGGAGCTCGTCCAACGGCAGGTTCACCAGTTTCTGACCGGGTATCAGCAGCCTGTTCCACTCCGGCTGAGCGCCGATCCCGTCGGTCTCCGACTCCAGACCCTCCTGCATACCGATGATCCTCGTCTCCAGGATCCTCTTCACGTATAACAGGCTGTTCAGCTGCTGCTTCACCGACAGATCGTCCTCGCCGCCCGAATCCTTCGAGCGCAGGTGCGCTATCTCTTTATAAACTATACTCTTCATCGCCGTTAATTCGTCTAAATTATCCGTTATTCTAATCACTGTTAAAAAGACATCACTTGGTAAGCCACTCTCCTTAGTACACTAAAATGAAGAAATCCAGGTGTTACATACACACACACATAGACACAATTGAGATGGCGATATTAGCGTTGTAAACAGAATTGATAGAGAAGAATGGCAGAGGTGTACGATAAGATAGATCAGATCGGATCGAATCGGATAAAATGGGTTGGAATCGGATCCCTTTGCGATAATGCTCGCGAGAACACGGAAGCTCTTGTCTCGATACTCGCGGAGGAACAATGATATTTATAAACACATGTGTTGCGAAAGATCGTGAGATTGTTCATGTGAAGTTTCAAGTGCATCGCTCCTCTCTCTCGTACTCACCAGCCATATACACGCCTGATTAATGTAATCAGGGTCGGAGAACAGATCCAACAACGGTCTGATTATAACGTTCACTAACAACTCCCTTAAGATAAATCTCACAGTCAAACAATCGAAGTCAGCCTTGGGCAGTACCAGGTACAGCAGGATCTCCGATATTTCGCCCAGGAACTCCAGCTCCTGGGTGTCGTTCGTGCACACCAAGTCCCTGCATATCAGGTTGCTCTCCATCTGCACCTCGAGATCGAAGAATATCTTCTCCAGCGACTCCTCCTCCTTCTCGTCGCCGGCCTCGATCGGCTCGGTGAGCGAGGACAGGTTCGGTATGTAAAACTTGGATTGCGAGTACCACGACACGTCGGTCTCGCTTTTGTTACGCCGGTGTGTGGGCGTCTTCTTCGGCGTGCCGCCCGACGTGCTCGAGCTCGCGCTACCCTTCTGCATTCTGCTCGATCGTATCTGCTTCATTCTCGCGCTCGCCTGCCGGTACAGCCGCACGTGCGAGGCTGCATCGTCGACGAGCCGCGTCGTCAAGTAGGGTATCCAATCGACGCTCTTCACCCTGTTCCGTGCATCGATATTCAGTAATAAGCGACTGATCCGCACATGTTTTGACCACAATCTCGTTATACAGCTCGTTATTCTTTACCGAATGACGCTTTGGGGACTTTTTCCGGTGCCTACGCGAATTGCTGTCTCCTTTTTATTCTTAATTTTAGGAACAATGCGACGCGTCACTGTGGCGTGTGTCAAAAAGTGTGCCAAGTAAACGCAAATATCCACTGCGGAATGTAATTTTTAAGCCGTGTCCGGGTCACCGGCTCTCGGAATTGCAATCGAGGTGAAGATGATAGAAGATAACACAGACGGTAAAAAGACACTGTGTTAAAATCGATTTTTAACATTTTTAACACTTTTAATAGATTTCTAACACCTGTGTGTTAATTTAACATATTGTGCTTGTTACCTCTCAATATTTTGTATTGAGCCAATATTCAATATATATGTGTTAAAATAACATTTGTAAATATCAAAATAATACATTTTACACTTTCCAATGTCGATTGACATATAGATATTAATGTTGTATTAATTTTTAATAATATTCACCTCGTGTTAAATATAACAAAAAATTGTTTACTGTATAGAGATGGAATATAACACGCGAGAAAGAGCTGATTTTAACGAGAGTGGACAAATACGAGAGAGAAATGTGGAAGTATCTTCTCACACACACACACACACACACCGATTTGCGACATTGATGGCGATTTTTTGAGCAGTGTCCCGGACAGAATAGATAAATTCTTCATCGTCCGTAATGACGGTGTACCACGGCTCCACGTAATCTCTGATAAGAAAATCCAAGATTTCCTAAAATAAGGAACGGACGTGCGTCAGAGGCTACTCATCACGTACGATCAAGAGAGACGATCATTCGTCATGGTTTTAGGAATATTGAGTATGTACTTGCAGGGATTCATCAATGATACGACTACCGGTTATTCTCCTGTCTAACGTGAATGTCATCTTTTCCTTAGATAGATCTAATATATACTGAAAGCACAATAGGAAACATTAGACGCCGTTTTATCGAGAAAGAAGGGCCGATCGTCGAATCGCCCCCGAAATCCTCAGCTCACCTGTCGGAACTTTTCAGTCTTCTTAGTTAAGTCTTCCCTTTCAGACCTAATTACATCGTCAAGATTCGGAGCGTACGTTCTATATATACAGGTCAATGCCCTGCAACAGAGAAGAGTATCTTTTTCCTTCACGCACCTTTGCATCGTGGCATACGCGGCGTTATTTCGCTAATCAACTCGACGCCGGTTCATCAACATCTAGTTATCTTCCTTTCGCCTACCTTATCTCTCTCTTTTCGATAGAGAGAATTCGATCGTAGAGAGTCGACTTACCCTAAAATTAACGCAAGCAAACAGACGAGGAGCTTCACGACCGTTCCTATGCCGAGGATGTAAGCGAGCAGAGTCGCTGCGGCTCCGAGAACGCCGTACAATGGGACGTTCATCTGAAAAGAGAAGAAAAATCGATTGCGTATTGCAAGTCGTCGCGCACCGAAGAGCGCGCCGAAGAACGCGCGAAGCGTTTCCGTCGCGCGCCAAAGTACGCGCCCGCCGTAATTATCTCGGGAGACGTGAGGAGAAACTCGCCGTGATAGCGACGAGAAAATAAGTCGTTAAGACTTCACCATTCGACGGCAGCGACTTATCGGCATTTTTCGTTGTGCTACACGCCTATCAAATAGTAGCAATGATAAAATGTGAAACGAGGGAACAGCCGGGAGGGATCGAGAAACGAGAAAAGATAACGGATCTTTAATGCTCGGCGACGACGAGTCGGCGAAAACGGGCAAACTCGGGGCCCAATTCGGGCTTTTCTTTCGTAAGAGTCCGCAAACAACAGGACAGAAGGTTAATTTGAGATTTGTTTCGCGTAAAAACGAATAAACTTCACGATAACAACGACGACGCAAGCAGATAGCACCCAGTTAGATAGAAATGCTGAGCATAGTGTGCGAATATTTGATCTATGCTTCGTGATAGCATTGCGAGAATAGAACATGTTTGAAATATGCTTGTTTTAAACAAATATTCATTTATCACGCCACAATTTTAATCGAAGACTCATTGACTTTTAATTACTATAATAATTCCGGGTCAATTGCGTTTTCTCTCTCGGGCGGAACAAGCAGCAATAACTCGCGACATCGGAATTTTCACGGCATTGGGTGACTTTTTTGACAGAAAAAAAAAAAAATAGCCTCGAATCAACGATAGATATTATGTATGCGCAAGAATACCACAATATTCTTCGAAGATTTTTAAACTTGAGAATTGAGTTGAGCGCAGGTAACATCTGCATCGATACAAAAAATGCAATCAAGACTGAAAATCCATCGAGAAGTTTACAATATTCTCGCTCGCATATGAGAATATCTATCACAGATCTAAGACTGATTTTTTTCCCGCGTATCTCGACAAAATCCTCGATGCGAGGACGAATCTTCACGTACTCATGCCAGTCACAATGGCACACAGTACACAACAATACGGTCTATTACGTGGACATTCAGCGGCGGAAAAACAAAAGCGGATCTTCTTCTCAGCGGTATGTTTCGCACGTGAAAAGGTCCGAGATCGGTCGACATCGGCTCCCCCGGCTCGTCGGTAGCGGCAAAATCAATGGCTGTGATTGCGGGACGCGAAAATGCCAGGTATCGCGGATAAGTGACACGGGGAACATCCCCGTCACGAAAACCCCGCACATATCGAGAGCGAGATATAAAAACGAGCGCTCGTGCCAGAGAGAGAGAGAGACGGGCAGGATGTACATACAACACTTTGCCGTGACGTTGGCGTTTGAAAACAAAACACACTCTCTCACCTCTCCCGCCCAACATCGGAGGAGCACTCTCGCCTCGGCGGCCACCACCGTTTCACTCGCGCGTGAAGCCTCTATCTTCCGCCAATGATCGATCGCGCCTCGTTCGCCGCTCTCATCTCACACCGATCCCGAACGATCGTCCGGACGCGATTGTCGGAACGCGGCCGATGTGCGAGCTGACATTATCGCCCTCCCCCCCATCGCTTCGCGAAACAACTCGACAACTGTCACACTGACTGACGTGTCGTAGGCGCGAGTGCAAAGAACGCGCGCGTATCGCCCGGATCACGCGCGTCATCCCGAGGTGCGAGAACTCGCGAGGGAGAGAGGATCGCGAAGAGCGACGCAAGAGCATCGGTCGACGGGCACGCACCGTGTAGCCGTTCGATCGGTTCGATCGACGGCGGGATCAGCACGCACCTTTGGTTGCTCGTCGGGCCGGTGGTCGTCGTGGCGCAATCGGCTACACGCATATTGCGAGTCTCACGGCGGCGTTGCTCATCCGGAGCGAGCTGGTCAGCTGAGCGGCGCTTTATTTACATCCTCGCGGACGGTGCGGCACGGTGCGCTGATAAGTACGTCGGGCGACATCATGTCTTCCGATCCTGTACGATTCTGCGTGGTTGGCGGCGGTAGCGCGGCGACGACGTCGTCGTCGTCGTCGTCATCATTATTATTATTATTATTATCGCCGCGCGGGCATCGATGAGGGACTAATCAAGATCGACGGCGAGCGAGTATTCTCGGGATTTTTCGACGGTGCGCCCTCTTCGGCGAGTCCGTGGGACGCTCTCCGTGCAGGAAGCGGAAATGCACGCCGCCCGTCGTGTAGGAAAGCGGAATCAGACGTTATCAGCGTTTTCGAATTATCATCGAGCCCACGTGAGAAGTCCGGGAATTTTTCCAATATGGCTGCGAGTCTTCAGTATTATCTTATCAGTGGTGTTATCCGCTCCCGGAGGCTGGAATGAAATTTTCCTAACCTGTTTTTGTAAGAAATGGAAAACAACAGGATGGAACGTCGAATTCGACCCGTCTTACGTACGAATTAATATTTCAATTGATATTTCATGTAACAACGGCGAGTTGACAATACGTGAAGCATTGACGTTACAGCAAAAAAGCAAAGCGGACGATACGATTTATCTTCTGCAATGTTTTATGTATAAAGAACCGAGGATTTGCTAACTTAACCTGCGTGTACGAGGAGAAAAGGTGCTAAGAGGACGAAGGAGTGATACAACTCGGAACAAGTATCTAAATAAGTATCTAAACAGGTATCAAAGTAAAGAAGAATCTCTTCAATTTCCGCACGAAGGATGCATTGACGTTAGCACCGGCTGGCCGGTCACGTCAAGTATCAAGTCGACGTTGAAATTGGCGATTGGAAGGAAGCTCGGCAGCACCTGATAGTCATTTGCAACGACAAGAAGTCGACGTGAACGGTGTGCAGTGCCGGGTAATTCGGCGAACACCCGCAAGGATGATCCCGGGACTCCTGTTACGTCGTGCAAGCAGCACTTGCTTGCGTACGGTAGGCAGCGAATCGAATCTGTTAAATCGCGGATGCAATTCTAACAACGCGTGTAACATCGCGCCGATGTCCGCACTACCTCCCGACAGTCCGATGAACGTCTTCGACAGGAACGCGAAGTTGCTGCATCGCGAGCGCGCCGCCAGGGACACCGAAGTCAAGCTCTACGATTACATCAAGGACGAGGTGGGCGACCGACTGTCCGACAGGATATTCGACATCAAGCGCAAGTTCAGCAGAGCCTTGGACCTGGGTTGTGGTCGTGGCCACGTGTCCAAGCGGATCCTCAGCGAATCTGTGGAAGAGTTGGTGTTGACCGACATGAGTCCGAGTTTCTTGCACCAGGCTGAGAGCACGGAGGGTATAAGGGTCACGAAGGAGGTTGTCGACGAGGAGAATCCCTCCTTCGAGGCCAACAGCTTCGACATAGTGATCAGTTGCCTGAGTCTTCATTGGGTCAACAATCTTCCGGGATGCTTCAGACACATCAACAATTGCCTGAAGAACGACGGTGTGTTCTTGGCAGCTGTATTCGGCGGCGATACACTCTACGAGCTGAGGTAAGCATGAAAATTGGAATCGGAATCAGACCGAAGATCCCTCGGGATGTTGCGTTCGCACCAATTACTTCTGGCGTTTATTCTGATAATACAGAAGTTCCTTGCAATTAGCTGAACTGGAGAGGCACGGAGGTGTCTCGCCGCATATCTCGCCGTTCGTGGAGATCAGGGACATCGGGTCTCTGCTGACGAGAGCGAATTTCACCATGTTGACCATTGACACCGACGAGATAGTTGTCGGTTATCCGAGTATGTTCGAGCTCATGTGGGATTTAAGAGGTAAAGAGCGATCAATATAACGTATCGTTGTAGAAACAGCTGTTCAGTTAGAACAGTATGATTGATAAATTAGTATGATTAATAATTGAAAGTTATACATTTCTTAAACCAGTGCAGCCAGTTGAACCGAAAAGAACAGACGAAATGTCTTTACGGGCGGGAATTTAATTACGTACATATGAATAAACGAGGGATTATATTTATACGGAATAATCCTTACTTTGTGTCTAGGAATGGCCGAGAATAACGCGGCCAAGAATCGTAATTTGCATCTACCGAGGGACACACTGATCGCAGCCGCTTCTATATATCAAGGGCTCTACGGGAAAACCAAAGAAGATAACACCCCGTTCGTTCCCGCCACGTATCAGATAATATACATGCTGGGCTGGAAGCCGGACCCGTCTCAACCGAAGCCCATCGAGAGAGGTACAGGAGAGGTGTCGCTCAAGGACCTGTACAAGCTCGACAAGATAATCAAGAACACTGAGAAAATCAAACTCGGCGACGACGATAAGTAGCCTTTATTCGCGCGCTGAACAATGTAAATATTCCGCATCGTGTAAAATGTAACGCATCGTATAAATGATAGGCATAAAAAATAACTTATTACTTATCAACAACCGTATTTTGTCGCCGTTTTCATCGCACCGTTCTCCACTGAAGAGTCCTGTTCGTTCTCTGTATATACCATATTCACGTCTTCTTCTCATCGTCCTTGTGAACTATGACGCCTTTCTCGATAAGTTCTGGAATCTCGACCGCCAACCACGGCCCCAACTGAAGAAATTTTCATTTAAGATTATTTTTCACATGGCAAACTCGGATTTTATCGTACACGTTTATATATTCATGTCTCAGGAGACAAAGAGGATAGGATAGCTTAATCATTAACAGATTGTACGATATATATAATTGTTTAACTTACACCGAGAGCCATAGCATGAGCAATGCCAAATTTGGGGACGTTGCGAGCCCACAGTGGCTTGAAGTGATCTGTGAGGCAAATCTTACCGCCTCTGTACATTTTCGCCGTTTTACCATCTAGTTCTGGTAGAGCAATTTCTGGTGCTGTTGTAGGATATGTAACAGGAATCTAACATCAGAAAAGAACAAGATACCGCTGAGCAAGCTTTCTAGATATTTAGGTAGAGATTTTTCCCTAGTTTTGTCATTTTGGTATAAATAACTAAATAAATTAAAGAGATGTAATTGTGCAAATAGAACGTTATGTTCAATAGGATCTTCCCTATTCAGATCAAATGAGCCAAGAAAATTTTCACTTACGTCAAATTCTACTTCAAATTCATATTTCAGGAAATTCTGGATATACCAGCACTTGCCGAACCACTTCGTACCTTCCTTGTTCGATTCCAGCCTGAACCAATCATTGTCTGCTTCTTTATTGTTTTTAACATACTACAAAAGACAATTATAATAAATAATCATTGATAATTTAATTTAATGATTAGATTATGTGAATTGTTCTTTCACAGTCAATATTTTTACATCTTGTCACAGTGATAGATTAGTTTCTGATAGGTACAAGTTATACTTAAATCAAAAAAGATCAAAATTGATCAGTCCATATGGAAGTGACGTTTATAATCTCTGAGAAAACTGTTAACTCTTTACCTTAATAAGAGCCTGATATTCCTCCTTCAACCTTTGCACCCACAAATCCTTATCTCTGGGGCCAGCTTTCGTTTGTAACAGCGGTATGTTACTCAAAGTTTTCTTTGTCGACTCATCAACCATCCTGACATCGGTTTGTCACATTCGGAGGTTAAAATACGGAAGTGTTTCGTCACGGAGTTTCACGTCAAATCAACGGCTGTGGTGGACAGAAAAACGCAAGCGGTAAGCGAATTGACCAATCACAGCCGGGAATTTCAACGTGATAACCTCACGTTGCCGATAATTCTACTTTACCATCGTATCGTCAGTGTCACCAATAGACAAATTTCTAACAGAATCGATTGGCGTTTCCACAAAATTTCTACAGAGGGATCTGTCTCCGCGTGCGAGCAGTCACGATGTACGAGAATCTATAGACGTGCTCGAATTGGAACTACAAACTTGTCCGAACCGGAAACTACGAGCAGTCACCTTTTTCACGTCGAATTCGTCGGAACTTTTATAGGAGAGTTGCGTTCTCTGTCTTGCGAAGTGGCGCGTCCTAACGTTGAGTCTTGCATGAAACACTGTGGCTGCAGGAGGTGAGGTATTAATCGTCAATAACGAATACGACTCGATCTGTTTCATTACCGTGGGTGTATAATGGCTGACTCGTCCTACGAAAAAGGGCTTAGCGAACTATCGAAAATGAAGGTATGTATTGCGAGCTCCGACCGGTACGACGGTGCGATGGTGTTTATCGCTGTAGTTAACCTCCAATTTTTTTCTTGCGCGCATCAATCGCAGCATTCGTACACGGCTTTGAATTGCCTTCTTGCACTTACTTCCGCCGTTAGAGTTGGAAACTATTATTTTAACGATTAATTAGAGTGCAATAATTAAATCTTATTTCACTCAATTGATTGCAGCCAATCGCTTGATATCGAGCTGTCTAGTTTGCATGGTATAAAGAAAAAACATCTTTCTTTCCACAAGTTTGTTAATATCCACCTATTAATTAGTATTAATAATAGGATATATATAATATAGTAAGATGTAGAAAAACTCAATCATCTGAGATCTTTCGAAACTGTACTGTGAGAAGCATCAGATATGGGAGAGTGACTCACTTTTCTCATTTTCCCCCCATTTATTTTCCCCGCTAAAAACACTGTAACTTTTTCTGACTTTTAAGAAAAAAGTCCATTTTTCTCACTGTTTCCTTATTCGATTTGAATTCTTTCAGAAAAGGAAAATTCTTGATCATAAGAAATCATGTTCAACAACTTGCTTCTTTAAAAATAAAACAAAAGATACAAAGAAAATAGAACATAAAATGACTCCAACAACACAATATTATTCATAAAGTGCTGAACTATGATTTTATTTTTAAGCTGTTTTTATCAGGTTTGTCAGAAAAATAATGACAGGCATGAGCCAATTATTTTTCAACTGACAGTGTTCCTTTTAAATTACATAGTGGAATCGTTTTGTGTACGATTTGTCTGCATTTGTCCATTCATAATTCTTATTTTTCCACTAATCCAAAACAATTTATTAATAAAGGAACGTAAAAAAACAGATAATTATTATCATGAATACACCCCTGTGTTTTCTATAATTACATACTGGAATCTTTTATTCAGAATTTGCCAATATCTGTCCATGTTTATTCATTCACAATTCTTGTTTATCCACCAAACCAGACCAAGTTATTGCAAATGAAAACAGAGACTGACAATTATGAGAACATTTGACTGTTTTTTTTTTCTCTAAACTGGATATTATTGAGTATTATTCTTAAAAAGTTCACTAACTAGTCTGTTTACAAGAAAAATACCTGTAATTTAAATATTTATATATATTTGAAATTTTTTTGTTTGACGAAAAGATCTGAGATATCCTAACATCCTAAAAATCTATTGCAATGTAGCTTATCTGATTCAAGTTTTGTTTTTAATTTTATTTCATTAAATTAAATTTTGAGAAAACATAAGGAATTTAATTTGATTTGTTTTTCATGGAGAGTTTTATTGTATATGAATATATGTGTCTAAGCTGAATTGAAAGTAAATTTTAAGTTCTATATATATTTTGCAACATTTTTTATTCCCCAAAATTCAAGTTTTACTCTTTATTGATTTTTTATCATCTATTATACTATTCTTCTAAAAAATTATAAATCTCTCTTTCTCTCTCTTTCTCTCTAAAAATTTCTTTAACCTCTAAAAATTTAACTTTATTGACTATAAAATTAATGTTTTTAATTTTTTAGAAGAATAGTATAATAGATAAGACTCAGTTTTCACTCACTTTTTTCAAAGTTGACCCACTGTTTTCTTATTTTTCCAAGAAACTCATTTTTCTCTCTATTTGGTGATTAAACCGCTCACATGCCTGCAGTATATAAATATATTATTGGTTAAAAACAGTTTTGTGTAGACAGTTTATATTATATGATGTAATTTGGTTACACAAAATACTTTTTCTTTCTTCTTATATCAAAATAATATGTTCTTTATTAGGTAGCTGACTTGAGAGCCGAATTAAAGCAAAGAGGACTTTCTACTACAGGCAATAAAAATGAATTGGTAGAGAGACTTCAATTAGCGATGCATGGTGGTGCGTCTTTTATTCTTTCTTGTTTTTATTCTTTCTTTATTTATAAATCAGGAATAAATCTGATTATATTAATGAAATATGAATTTTTCATATTTTAGATTCTGCATTGTCCTTAGATGAAACTGCAGAAGAGATTTTAGATGAAGATGAAGTACTTGGTGTAAATATAAATATAATATCATGTTAACTACTATGTGTGTGTGTGTGTGTGTATGTGTGTGCGCGTATATGTAACTTTATTAACATAATACATATGTAATATACAGTAAGAATATATCTATTGGTTTCAAACAGTACAAAAGATCCATTATTAATCAATTACAGGACGAAGAAATAGAAGAGCTATCCAGTAAACCAGATTCACAAGAACTTCCTCCAACCAATTCCAAGAAGCGGAAGTTGTCCACAGAGAGTAACAACGGTAATGCGAAAAAGATAGTATTGAATCGCAAGTCCGTTCTCGAGGAAATCAAGAACGACCAAGTGGAGAAGAATGAGAACAAAAGTGTAAAATCTCCTGAGGCTGCCCCATCTGAAAAAAAGATTATCAAATTATCGGAACTTGGCGTGAAAGAGGTAATGAAAAATTACATAGTTTCTATTTGTTACGATACGATATAAAGCGGCAAGATCAATATTCGACTCTTATATAATATAATAGATATGTATCATAAATTTTTCTACAATATACGGTTAATTCCTTTGTCAGAGACTGGAGATGAGAGCAAAGAAATTCGGAGTACCGCTGTCTGAAGCTGCAAAGAAGGAAGCTAGATTAGCTCGATTCAATCTCAACAATCAAAATAATAAATCAGCGGCATCTATAAAAACACCTGTGGTAAGAAATTGATGTTTCATTTTCACGGCTGTATATATTAGGTTGGAAACTATGAAACGGGCGTTTTTGGTTAGTCTGTGTTCAACTGCGACTGAGAGAGGTTCATTACAACGTGCGCTCGATATTTTTATTTATAAATTTTAAAGGTATTCTTCTTACTCATTTTGTAAAATTTTTTCATGTTTGTGTTTCATTTTTATTTTATATTTCTCCCAAACCAGATGGAAACAAAACGCGATTTACATCTGCTTTTTTTGCATGAGTACAAATTAAATCATAGTGTAGCTCAAGCTTCGAGAAACATTAATCAAGCTTTCGGAGATGGATCCACCAATGAAAAAAATGCTCAATATTGGTTCCAAAAATTTCGTTCTGGCAATTTGAGCATCGTCAATGAGCCTCGAGGAAGACCACCGGTCCATATTGATAACGAGGAATTAAGGACGACTGTGGAATCCGATCCAGACACAACTATTCGTAAACTTGGGACTAAGCTAGGAACTAGCCATACGGCTGTATTAAAACATCTGCGTGCAATAAACAAAGTAAAAAAATTGGACTCATATGTACCGTACGAACTGACGGAACTGCAGATGGTCGACCGCAAGAATAAGTGCGCATCTTTGTTGATTCGCAATACACGATTGCCGTTTTTACACCAAATCATCACTTATGATGAAAAGTGGATTTTGTACGACAATCGAAAACGATCAAGCAAATGGGTAGATAAAAATACACCGCCAGAATAAGAATACCCCTAAGCCGAAATTCCATCAAAAGAAGATTATGGTTACCATATGGTGGAATGCCAAAGGAGTGATCCATTATTCCTTCCTACAACCAGGCAAAACCATAACAGCGGAGTCCTATTGCCGTGAAATTGATGTCATGCATGAGAAATTTGTGAAAAAACAACCAGCATTGCTCAATCGGCACGGCGTAATATTACTGCAAGATAACGCAAGACCACATAAAGCTTCAATCACTGTTAACAAGTTAAATTCTCTAAAATATGAACTTTTATCACATCCTGCATATTCACCAGACATCTCACCGACCGATTATTACCTTTTTCGTAATTATGAATTATTTTTAAGAAAAAAAAAATACAATAACCAAAACGATATTATAAAAGACTTTGAATTGTTTATTAACTCTAAAAATGAAGATTTTTTTAAAAAAGGCATTTATGACTTGCCTAATCGTTGGCAGAAAGTCGTAGATGCCAATGGAAATTATTTCGATTAAAAATAATAAATAATGTGAAAAATAGCGCTTTTTGATTTTTATTTCTATTCAACGCTTGTTTCATAGTTTCCAACCTAAGTTGTTATATTATTTCCAACAATAAGTTGTTATTCGAATTAAACGTTAATTTCAAAGATTATATAAGTTAACGTTTTAATCTTGTTTACAGCACACTACGTATGAAGTATTGAAGAAGCGCGCAGAGAGATTTGGCACATCGGTATCCACTTTAATGGAAAAGGTAAGTGGACGATTATTGTATAAAATGCACATGTTAATTTTAGAGATTCATATAATCTTGATTCTTTCTCATCATTATTCATTGGTTCTCTATTCTCATTTATCTAAGTTAATCATTGTGAATCATTTTTTTTTCTAGGCCGAACTGGCTGAACGACTGGAGAAGAGAAAAGCTAGGTTTGGCGAAGTGAAACCTGAAGGCAAAGTTTTTCACAATAAATATAAGATTGTTAAATGATACTCAGTGTTATATACCAAAACTACGCTCTAGATTTTGATTTCTAACTTAAATTGTCGTATTTTCCAAATAAAGCTATTATATATAAAAATAAATATATATATATGTATACATGGAAGACAATCGATTATTGTGTGTATGTATTATGTGTCTGTGTAATTCGCTTTGTAATATCACCGATCAGTATTAAAGCATTAATAGTAGTTTTTTATCAATATTTTTCTTGTTTAATACATCGTATCTTGGTTTATTGTAATGATAATGAAGCAGAGATCATTCTTAGAGATATAAGAGTGTATGTATTGCAGCAACAATTACAATATATAACTTCAAAATAAAAAATTCCTCTTATTCGCCATTGAGTTGTTTATTTGATGAAAATTTGATATCGTCTCACCTGCCACTGAGTTCTACTACTTACTGGCAGGTTCAGAGGGACATTATTTGTGTTTCCTCGCTGGCAAGTATATATTATTATTACTATTATATATTATATATGTTTAAATAACTGTCGATGTAGGAATTTGTTGAATTTTAAAATGTTGAGCAAATAATCGATTCTTTAACGAAAAAAAAAAAGAGTCGATTATCGATTCATCGATCGATTACCTCCCGTCTCTAAAGCTAACGGCACATGATGCTTGTTTTCGTGCTGGATTGCTTGTTGGATAGAAATACTGCGTTCTGATTGGTGCATTTCCAAAAATAGATGATACCAATCAGAACGCAGTATTTCCATCCAGCACGAAAACAAGCACCGTGTGCCGCTTGCTTTTAACCTACAATTTCAGAGAATCGGGGGATCACCGGCATTTTTTAGAATGTAGTGACGGTTTGTATTCCTGCGACATTTTCGAAGAGCACGCGAAGACGTAGATACGTCATTATGCAATTTCTTAGATCATCAATATATCTTGCAATATTGCTATGTATATTTTTTGTGAATGTTTATTGCGACGAAGATGACACGTTCGATGATGCTACGCAGTGAGTATTTTGACGCACAGTATGAAATTAGCCGGTTAAAAGAAATATTTCGAATGATAAGATATTTTCCAAATTCTATTCATTCTATTCGATACTTCTGGCATATGTTTTCAAGTAGATAACATCTGTTTATCATATGTATATACCAAGTATCACAAATTTTTTAATACATAAAATGTACTATCCTAGGATTACCATAAATAAAAAAAAACCACGTTAAGGCTGTGTTGGTTCGTTAATGTAATAACCATCACCTTGGCACCATGCTTCTAATTAATGAATTAATGATGTATTAATAAAGCATGGTGCATATGTTTCTATATGTTGTGTATAATTAAGAAACATCTGCATAATTGTTTTCTATATCTTTTATATATTAAGAGACATTTTCCACAGAAACATCTTATTGCAGGTCTACCGATGAGCTTCATAAAATAAATAATTTCTTTTATAAGTTAGGGGACAACTCAGATAGGTATACAATATTCTAGGCACATATATAACATATATGTGTTACGTCATTAAATAGGTTAGCAAATAATTTTTATCCTTTTAAATTTTAGCTTTGCGATACAAGAAAATACGAATAATCAGTATCTCAAAGCAGTGCAGTCATGCAAATGTGAAGAACTAGATGAACGTAATACCCAGGAAGCAGTATTTTACAAACGTATGGTCGCTATATTACTGTCAAATCTAGACATGCAAGTAGGTTTTCCAAATATAATATATCCTTAATCTAATATCAAATCTGAGACTTTGCAGATTTATTATTATTTTATTATTACCTTATATCAATCTTACAATAATCTTTATTTATATGCAACAGAGAGTTGACGACAAATTAATAGGGACGCTCAGCATGGAAGCATCTTCTTCACAATACGAGTACCTGCAAAATTTCGTGGAGGGCCAGGGTTCTATAAAGGAAGTAGACAAGATACTCGTCAATGTGATAAAGCCACCTGATTACACAGCGAGTCACGTTGTGACTGAAATGTTTTTTTATTTTAACGAACTGTTAGAGTTACTGATCCAGTGCGCGTCCATTATGAAAGAACATGTAAGAATCGGTAATACCTGAGGCGTGGTTTTGCATTCAAAGTATGAAGTTCGGTCTAATTGATTTAGATAATGTGTACAAGTTTTTCAATACAATCGATCTAATTAATCTTCGGTACCTTTACAGTGGAATATAACTATAATCTCGGCCATACTTATATCTAGTTTCATGGTACTGAGAAAGCAGCGATGGTCCCGGGGCTTGGTGATCTTTCTGCTGTTCGACGTTATATTCGTGACGAGTTTCTTCATAACTTGGTGGCAGCTCATACAGGTAGTCGCTGCTTTGTCTCACAGTCATAGATATATCTTTGCGCATATCGATTACATCGAGAAAATCTGATAGCGTACGTCAGAACTTCGTGCGCATCATGTATTCTCGAGTGAGACCGGACGATCATTTTTAATCTCAAACACTGATCATTGCTCTCTAGGAGGCAGAGATTGAATTAATGGCTGCACAAACGCAATTTGCCGAAATGCCGATCAGTTGTCAGCCGCACAAGATGGGCACATGGGACAAGATAACGACGTGGTTTTCAAGTGAGTCTTCGCCGAAATTAAGATGTATTCATGATGTCTTCACGGATGTCTTGTCTACCTTGATCTTGCATTTTTATCTATTTTGCAGGTACGAATGAGTGCGAGAAGTATTACAAAGCACTCATGACCAATCCAAAGCTGCAAGTAACACCTGCATTTGCGTTGACGCATTTCCTTACTAAAACCATCTTTCATCCCTTGTCATATTTCGGCGTCGTTATGTCTGAGTTTATAAATAACGTTACCAGTAAGTAGTAAAATGTGTCGAAATTAATGATTTCCCGATTCAAGCATTACGTCGAACAAAAATTGATCATAGGTTTTTTCCACAGGCAAGATGAACTTCATGCAATCATTCTTTACCTCAATCATCATTTGCGTGACTTTCTGCATATGTGTGATATTATTGCCGTTATTCTTGTTAGGCGGATCCTTCAATTTCGGCTTCGGACCATTCTTCAGGTTTGGAATAAAAGGCCAGGAAAGGTCAGCAAAACAAGAACGCATTGAACGAATTTACGAGGTATGAAGTATCTTTTTTTTTATCAACATGTCAGTCCATATTTGTCACGTTTCCACGAATTAAAGATATCCAGGACAGTATACTATTTATAAAATATAAAAAAAACTATAAATATTAAATATTTTGTAAATATTCAAATGTCCGGGAAAGTCAGTATGAGAAAGATTATGATAAATATTCAAAAATATTTATGAAGAATATTTTTCATAAATAATAAAAACATAACTTCACTTAAGTAAAACGATGTTTTAATTATTTATGAAAAATAATCTTTGTGAATATTTTTGAATATTTATGAAACATTTAATATCTATATTTTAAAAATATTTTATAAATATTACGTGATGTTTGGGATGTTACATACATAATATGTCACGCATATTTTTATTGAATTATTGATTGAAGCTGCAAAAATAATCATGAGATTATTTCATGTAAAAAATTCTATATATTGTTACGATAATTTTTATGTGATGTATATTCATAGTATTTCACACACATACACATTTAGATATATATATGATAGATTTTCTTTTCTGTGTTACAGAATAATACTTCGCCAAAGAAACATTTGAAAGGTCCGGAAAAAATGAAGCAGATTACGTTGGAGCCAGGTGAGAGAGAGAGAGAGAGAGAGAGAGAGAGAGAGAGAGAGAGAGAGAGANGCAATATATTTTTATACTAACGTGTTTTTACGAATAGTAATGTTTGGCGAATAAAGTGTGATATTACTTTTGTATCAGATCCCGCTGCTGGCGATGCTGGTGTCAACACGCATCATTCAGATGAAGAATTAGATGAAAAACAAGAAGAAGTTACTGAGGGTGATAAAAAAAAAGAAGGGGTTGGTGACTGCTAACGATTGCTTTTCTCATATTGTTACACTTACTATATTCTTCCTATTTTTTTATTTCCTTAATACATGTACATTACTAAGTTAATAATTATTTATATTACTTTTACTGTCTTGTTTCCAAGATTGGCGATAATAAGTGTATATTGCTATCGTGCTAACCGAGATTATAACAGTATTACCCGAATCAATTTTATTTGTAATATAAAAAGGACATTAGTATTCGCATTGAAATCGATTAAGTGTTCGGTACGAAATTTTCCAACTTTTTTCGAAAAAGTCTAAAAAATTATGCATATGATTGTTACGAATGTCGTTATTATGCATCTCATACCTTGGCAACGCTGTAAATTAGTTCTAGGAATCTCGCTGTTGCTCTGTAAGCCATGAATCTTAGATCACGGATCGCTAATACCTTGATGGTTCTATTTTTATACTAATCAATCTCGCCGATCGTTACGGTAGGAAACATTAGATTTGATTAGTGCGATCGCGTAAGATAATAATGCTCGCGCCGAAATAGTGTTGTGTACGCGTGCGTGCATTATTTTACACAATACGATCCCGAAAGTACTTCATTAAACACAGCATTGACTAATTATCACGATGTTTTATTACCAAAGCTAGTGTGTATATCGATCCGGTTCGGCGTGTATGGGACGGAGATGCCGTTTTCGGGCGCGAGTAAATTACTCGCGGGAACGAATAAATGGCAGAAATGGCGGTAATGAAAACATTCCGTTGTTCGACCGGCAGCCGGCGGCGCGGCCGCGTTTATTATGTCAACTCAGCTTAATGATCAGTGAGCAAGCAAGGATTTGTCAAATTTGCCAAATGTAACGTCTGCCGTCGCTCCTCGCAATTTCTCTCCATCGTGTTTGTATTCGCGAGCGAACGCGGTAGGTCGAACGCGATAATTGGATGAGGATGGTCTCTCATTGCCGGCGGGACTGAATTATTCGCGAAAAGGGGTAGCGAATAAAACCAGTATCGTTCTCGCTCGCGCGTTTTGTGACTTCTTTTTTCCCCCCATAAAAAAAATAATTATTTCACTCGTTATTTGTCGAATTTTTCCCCACAAAGAGAAGTGACTTCACACTTTTATTCTTTGAATAAGGGATTTTTAATTTCGCTCGACAGCCAGTCAACAATTACGTAACATCATGAGAGGGGAGGGGGGAGTCGTAATTGCGCGACGTTCTGTGTATCGATCCCCCGAGAGAGGTAGTTTTACATGTCGTGTAATATTGGAAAGGGGCAAATACTTGGTGACAAAATTGTAACGAAGGGGGAGGGGGGGATACTCAAATATTCAAATTTAGCGCGACGTAATTGTTAAATGGCCTTTAACGCAACCGGCAAACTCTTCCATTTGCCGCGGAAGACTCGGTTAATTTGTATTATTAAATTGGCGCGCGTGCAATACACAATGCGTAACGTTTTGTTAATTACATCGTTACGAGATACAACGTTCTTGCTCGATCTGCTTTTGTTCCGCGTGTGAAAAAAATTAAATACCATTAGCCACGGAAAGCGCAGTCTTCTCCTGACGCGAACAGGGGAGGGGAGGGGGAGGACGAGTTTCGCGCCGGGGATGTTTCGAAACTCGTTAATTATCGCGCGAATATCCGCGAGTGGCGCAAAGAATGCACTAATTAGCGTCGAAGGTCATGTAGACGAGCGGTTTCTTTCACGCCAGCCAGTCGGTCGGAAAAAGCCGGGAGAATAAGAGGAGCGCGCGCGCGCATCCTCGTACCCCCCGTTTTTCCATTAATTTCCTCCGTCGGCCGCTAATTTTTCACGGCATCGACTCGCCGCGGATACGAACCGGGCGATACGCCGAAGTTAAGCTCGACGATACATTTTTTTCCACGCGCCAACTCGAAACGTTGAAAGAAGCTTCTCGCTCGCGCTTTCCTCCTTTCCTGCCTTCCTCTCCCTCGAAAGGCACGTGTATCTTTTATGATCGTTGAATTTTGATCCGTTAATGAGCCGGGGGAGATTATTGTATTTCCATCCGGAAACGCGCGTTACCGAACATGGGCGAACGCGTTACGGCGTTTCAAAAAATTGCGGGATTTGCATGTTGCAAAAGAGCAGGTGCAAAATTCAACAAAAAAAAGAAACAAGGAGAGTCCACTTTGGATATCAATAGAAATGGTTCACAGTCGTCGTTGAAACGTTGCCGCCGTTACTCGAGCCGGCCGAAACTCCCCCGCGATATTTTCCGCGTCCTAATGTGGCGGCATGTAATTTCTAAATAAATTCACGGCGCAGAATGTGTGGCCGCGGACGACGCGATTTCACGATCCCTCGAGATATTTTCCGCTTATGTGTCACAGAAGAGTAGATGCAAAATTCGAAGAAGAAAGAAAAAAAGAAACTATTTTGTTAATTATTTTATATAACTATTATTTTAATTTAAATATTATATTTAGACTATTTTATTAAACAGTGATGCTTCACTTATCGTTGAAACGTTTGCAACTATACAGCAGCAGCTGAATATATTGATTAGGAACTGACAGATTTTGCTGCACGAACAGCATGAAATTGTTGTTGAAATTAAATAACTTTTTTCACTTTTCACTTCTGTGTTACGGAGAAAAAGATTCCAAAGAGAAAAAGAACACTTTGAGTGTTAATAGAAATAATTCCGTTGTCGTCGAAGCGCGTTCGTAATTATCTCCGTTATCCGAACCGACCGCAACTCTCTCTCTCTCTCTCTCTTTCGTGAGATTTTCCGGATTCTAATGCCGGCACGTAATTTCCAAATAAATTCGCAATGCAATGCGAGGCGATCTCGCGACTCCCGGCGATACTTTCCGCAGCTTCGGTGGACTCTCGTCCGTCGCCGGAGGAATTTATACATCGCTCGCGTTCCATCAAATATTTGTTTTCGCCGTTGCTGCTGGTACCACAGCGGTATTTGCGTGGAAAGGATGCACCTTTTGGTTCTCGTCGTCGTCGTGGTCGTCGGGACCCGTCGAGCTCCATTACATGCCCGAAGTAATGCCAAAGAGAGAAAGAGGGAGGGAGAGAGGAAAGGAGGGAGGCGCGGCGGTGGCTGGTTGTTGTGTGTTGCGTCTAGTTTTGCCGTTTGTGAAGCGGCATCCGCTGCACGAAAGTGCGGCGTGTGTTAGTCAGTTTAGGGAGTTCGCGTGTTGTTCGCGCAACTGCCGGCTAGCCCTAAGTTTCTCGTAATTCCGCGCGCAACTCCCTGGGAAAAATCGAGCCGGCAACGGGACGTGAGAGACCCCTCGTGCGACCTTTGCCACGCGCAACCTGTCTTCCTCGGTGTAACGGCAAGTTGGGATTTTCCTTATTCTTCCCGAGCGACCCGATCTTCAAAGTCTCGCGATCGAACAGCGTTGTCGCGTTATATCATGTGAATTAAATGGCGGACCTGCATTACCCAGCAAAAAATAATTAACCGAAATTCGTAACACAGAGCAATGTCTCGAAAATTCATAATCCCGAATTTCCTGGAAAAGAATTTTCCCGAAATATCGAAAGTATATAACGTCCCGAAGAACTATAAAAATTACAGTTCGGGATTATGACTTTTCGGAACATTATTTCATGGTCTCAGATCTCGGAATTTTAGTTTTGAGGGACAATGCGTGTTCACCGATTAAATAAGCACCACATCTGTGTATTTTCACCCGAAATTCAATCCGCAAATGTGGAAAACACTCTCGGTGAAAAAGTTCGGCTCGGTTTTCTGTTTTCCTCGACGATAAACTAGTCACCTTTCACGATAAAACCACGCTGTCAGAACGTTGGCGAGGGATCGTAGACAACGACGTCGACGATAACTCGGTCGATGAATAATTTGTTTCCATTGAACGCAATAAAGTCAAATTTGACTTTGACATGTGGCGGGCCAATTTTATGTGACTTGTGTCATCCACGCGCGTGGGTCATCGGTGACCGACGCGACACAGACCCGTTGGAATCGGACCGAATTTTTCGACTGATCCAGTACTTTGTATAATCCAAAACCGGGTATATAAGAGCATCGAAGAATCAACAGGCAGCTCCCCGCGATTCGCAACTCCGCGAGAAGCGAATCTCCCGCGTTCTATGAAGACACGAGCGAGTAAAAAGACCGGAGGATCGCGCGCGCGGTCAAAATATTTCGGTGCGCGCTATCGCTCGCGATTATCGCGGACACGTTCGAAAGGGTTCACGGGCCCGTGAAAGCCGTCTCCTCTGGCCCCGGTCTGTATCCACAATCCGCAGCGTGGAGAAAAGAGAAGGTGGTAAAAGAAGTGGAGGAAGAGGAAGCGCACTCGTGCGCGGACGGAGCGGTGGAGCCGCGGCATAGGTGCACGGATGCATTACATGCTCGAAATGACAGCTAAGGGTGGCGGGGTTAGCTCCCCCGGTCCTTTAGTTTTCTCCGCAACAACCGCCGCTGCTCCTTCGCATTATACGCGCTCGTTCGCTACCGAAAGTTTCTGCCTTTTGTGTTATAACGGCGAGCCGCGCGCGCATACCCGCGATGCGCTGACGTGGCTTATCTGCTGAAATGCACCTTCCCGGTGTGCGCGAGCGTGTAATTTAGCAAGGTGCCTGGTTACGCGATACGCGACCGGGTGACGTGCGTCGTAAAAACTGCGAGATGTAACTTACGCGAAATTTAAAACGCGAGAAGTGGAACGCTACGAAGCAGAACGAAATTCGGGGATGCCACTTCCACGCTCCTGAGGCCCCGTCCTGGGTAGTCGCTGCGATTATCCTTGTCTCATGACGCCAGAGGCGAGGAAACGCGTGGCAAGAATTCTTGCGGTATAATTTCAATAAAAAGGTACACCCAGAAAATGACATTTGTGATCGATTCGGCGGACTTGTAGAATATTCCGAATCTTTGCTCTCGCGACCGATAAATAACCGTAAAATTCACGACTTCCTTTTTAACCTATCCCTTTTCATGATTTTGTCACGTTAATTTTATAGCCATTTATTGATCGTCTGAGCGAAAAGAAAGTGGTCGAAATATTTTACAAGTATATTGAATTCATCACAAATGTCATTTTGGGGGTACATCTTTTTACCTGAACGTATACCGCAAGAATTCTCAGCATAGATTTCCTCGCTTCTGAAACGTTATAAAATAAGATAGTTGCGGCCACGACGTCATAAAACAAGATAGCTGCGGCCACTACAGGAGACTTAAGGGTAGTTTACTTAGGCCTGCGGACTAATAAAAACCTACTTTGATGACGCTGGCATTTTTTTCTTGAACTTTTGATTGTACACTGTATGTGTATTTGTGTGTATGTGAGAGAGAGGAGAAATATCTAAAAAATAAGAAATATATTTATTCGACAGGTACTAATAACATATTTACTTACATCTTTTTAATTTTTTTAATTTAAATAGAATAAACAATTGTTTTCATGGAAGTGTACAGATTAAAAAAAAAAAATGTATTTTCTCATTTGGAAAAATTTTTTCTCAGTATAAAAATATGTATGTTAGTAAAAGTAAATATGTATTATTAATATCTATCGAACAAATATTTTTTAGTTTTTTTAAATATTTTTCCTCAATGTATAGATTTAATTTTGATGCTACCTGAAACAGCCTGTTTTG